TACATCCTAGATAGCTCGGCAATATCTAAAATAGTCCATATAGATATAGATACACACTATACGACGCTCACTAACCTATAGTCATCACACCTGAGTAGAAGGTAACACGCAAAACGCATGTAACGTAGTCATGCACACCTAGACTTACCAGGGAATGTCATTCGGTCCAGTTATCCATCCAAGGCAATATACGCACCCTAACCATGATTAGGAGACTCAAGCTCATATCACGGTACCATAATGATATATATAAATCTTTCCTAATACAGAAAAGTAAAGCAAACATCCGTTATGTCGTTCAACTGTTTTAGTTGACAGGACATGCATCCATGTAGGATTTAACTGTTTTAATTAATCCATTCCGTATGTATGAATAGGTAGGAATTAGCGTTTTGATTTAATCCATCCCCAGTATGCCACCGTCCCATACCGGTGCATACAATGCATATAATCCATAGATGATGCACACTCAATTAAACATCAAAAACATCCAGAGACAAACATAATAGAAGTCAGATATATGCAAGATTCTATTATGCATCCAGTATATGATTATAATCATAAAAACTCCTTTTAAATTGCTAATCTAATGATAAACAATTTAAACCATCCACATCCATATAATTGACTGAACATAAAATTATAACAGTACATCAATTAACATCCATAGCACGATATAATGATAAACAGAATTATAACTGAGCACATTATACTAGAATGCCAAAAATACCTCCATACTAGTCCAGTTCGTTTGCTAAAATAAAACTAGCAATTAAAAACCTGCACAATCCTTGACGGCATGTCAATTAATACTTAAATTACATGACGTCCATTTAATCCTCACTATAAGTCATGTGTCTGATATAACGACACTCAGAAATCTACACGGAGTACATTTTATGAAACCCCAAAAGTATTCCCATACTAGTCCATTTAGTTCACTAAAACAAAACTAGCAACTAAAATTCCTATAACTCCTAACATCATGCAATTTAGTATCTAAAGTTTATGATGTCCATAACTATATCCTAACCAACCTTTCTGACCTTCATTAAATTATATATATAATTTATATAACATCCCAAAAGAAATTTCCATAATAGTCCGTTTAAGTTGCTAAAGCAAACTATCAACTTAAATCTTCCTCCTTCCTTTACAACACGCATAATATATTTTTATATTTCATGATGTCCACAACCACAGCTTAAACCAACATTCTCAGGCTTTAATCAAGTAATATATATCATTTAGGAACCCTCAAGTAAGTTTCATAATTATCCTTTAACCCCTGGAGTAGCGAAAAGTATCAGAAATACCCTTGTAGGGGTATTTTGGCAAGGGTTCTGGGAGCCGGCTCTAGCACCCTTGGAGCTGGCTCTCCCTCATGGAGAGTCGGCTCTCTCACCTAGGGAGCCGGCTCTCACCCCCTAAGAGCCGTGCTACGCTCCTTCCTCTCCTGTGTTGTCTTCTTTGCTTCCGGCAAAGTTCCAAGTTTCTGTCCCAATTGTTTTTAAACTTCTTAAGGTCCAATTTATATCCAAGCAGTACTACAAACTCTTCACATTCCACTATGAATTAATTTACAAAAGTTTAAAATCATAATCAACATAGTTTATGCAAGAAACCGATTTCAGTTATTTAAACATAAAACAAATTACAATCCGATATAACATGCATCAACCATCAGTTTTAAAAATTGAATTAATCCCTGGAGACTATAAAGAATGCACAAAACATAAGTTTACAGGAAGGAGATAGAATGAAACTTGTCTTTAGGTTTCAGTTTGAAACCTTTCAACGTCGGTTTTAAATTCTCCGACGACGGTCGACTATCGGTAAACCTCATACTGCTCAGTTCCAATCCCACAAGCCATCCCTTCCTTCCTCCTTGGTACGTCCTTCAGTCCACGTCTGAATGCCTAACCGGTTCTCTCAATTTGCCTCTGTGTTTTCCCCTCAAACCCTCTCTGTTTCTCTCTACCTCTAGTTATGGGAAAAGGGTTCTAAAAACCCTTGCAGACACAAACAAGCTCAAACCCTATCTGCTTCTCTCTACCTCCAGTTACGGGAAAAGGGTTCTAAAAACCCTTACAGACACAAACAAGCATATATATATATACGGCTAAACCCTAAGTTGGATTATATAGTATATATATAAGCTTCCACTCAACCCTAATTCTAAACCCCAAATAAAATACAAGTCGGCGATCACAATTATATGAAAACAAATTATATAAGCTACCAAAAATTACACGTTAGTTAAATCACCAATAATCAAATATTTAAATTAACCAACAATTAAATTAAAACAATTACAATTAAACAATTAATTTAAAATAAATACACACCTAATCAATTAAGCAAATAATAAAATAAATTCACAATTAAACAATTAAGCAAATAAGCACATAACTTTTACAAATGCAATAAAAACCTAAAATCATACATTAAAATCCCACAATTATCCTTCCTAAATTAGGGGTATTACAAGATACCTCGGGGGATAAGGGAGAAGCGTAATGGATTGTGCGTAAGGTGGCTCGGGGGAAGTTTCCTGCGTCAACAAATTCCTCTTACTCTGCAGTAGCACTTGCAGCTCCGCCATAGTCACGTGGGACGACTGTTGGGTAAGGTCCTGTTGATGTCTGAGCTCCCCCGAGCTTGTGTCCTTGCGGCATGCCTCCCTTTGATTGGTGTTTGGCATATCCAACCTTGCTGGCGCTATGAGTGGGGTGTTAAAGAGAGTTCGGCGAGCACGCGGTGGTGTGTCCTGTGGCCACCTGCGTTGACCAGCGGCATATCTTACTTCAACTGATGACAGGGGCACATGTTGAACAGAACTGTCTAGGGTCACCTATCCCCCAGTGGGTCCATTAAAGAAGTCACCGCTCGGACCTGCACCTCACCGAGGTACCCCCTTATCAACAATATCCCGAAGTAAAGTCACCACCTCTTTCTGCAATGCCCTCAAGCTGCTCCATTCTGTATGACAGCGCGTTATGGGCCTCGACTAAGGCATCAGAATAGGTTCCGGGGAAGTATGATCCAGGCATATTTACGGACCCCTCATAGCCCTCACCAAGGGCGAGGCTAGTTTGAGAGGGTGGACTGATCTCTCGCATGCTTGACATCTGTGAAGCGCTCCTCCCTAGCAGAGTCGCTAAAATGTTGAAGGTGATTCTTTATAGGATGAAGAGATCGTTCCACATAAGCCAAGGAATCTGAGATCAGTATCTAAGTGGAGATCCAAGTAACACAAGGGGTTCCTTAAGTACAAAGATTAAGAAAGGGAAGGCCGACCTCGGTACTTTGTGAACTCGAGCTTAACAGTAAACAGTTGTTAATGTGGTCGTTCTGTCTTCAAAAAGCTAATTAACGCCCCTATTTATAGTGCTTGCCTCCTCGGTCATTATCCTTTGGTCACCTGGGTGAGCTCGCTCTTACCCAAAGGTTCGAGGGTCACTCCTCCTAATGGATGGGACATTGACGAATAGGCCACGGCGCTTTGCCGACGCTCCCTAATTAATACAGGTCCTATCAGATGTCTCTCGCAATTAGTGCGCTCTTTATCCCACCTTGCTCGAGCTTAGGTACCGAGTATCTTTTCCCTTTTGTGTTGGCCTCGGACTAAGGCGATACCTTGGATCTCAGCAACCTGTCCACATGTTCTCATATTCCCGAACAAAAGAGGGAAAAGAGCCCTCCTTAAGGTCCTGCCTTCGTAACCTCGCAGGGCTCTGTCCCAATTCTATATTTCGAGGTCCCTATAACCAGAAAGGGGAGCTCGTAAAGCAGGTTAGTCGAGGTTGCTCTTTCAAGAAGCAACCTCGGAAGAGTAGAGGGGAGGAGTTCATCCTACTGGAGCGGGGCACGTCCACAAGGGAGGAAGGGTAGCGACCCCTTCCTCGGCCAGCGAGTTCAGTTGTTAGATGAGTAGCTCGAGGATACCCAATCCCTTTGTGGGCACACCAGGTAAGCACTGAGCAGGTGTCCCAATTTTGCAGAGGTGGCGCCACTTAAACAGCTATCGTGGTGCAGTCATCAACAATGAGTAATTATTATTGTTTATTTGATTCTGTTTTAGTTTATTAAAATACACATCCTATTTTAATCATAAAAAGACAAGAAAGGTCATTGCCATTATTTGTTGTATTTGTTCTTTTCCAAGCCACCAAATAGGAAGGGGAAAAAAAAAAAAAAAAAAAACCACATGTATGGTATCCACGGTGTATTGTAAAAGCAATTTGATCTTTTTAAGTTCTTGCAAATTTTTGAAAACGGTAAATGTAACTGACCCAATCTATGATAAAAGGAGCCGCGTCTCAACTCCTTTGAGAAAATATACAACCGTACCCTCCCTTTAAAATGTTTGCTCCTCCTTTTTATTCATCAACTGAATAAATTAGATACATATATATTTTATATAGAGGAGGTATTCCCACATTTTTATGGGTAATACTAATTCATCTCAGAACAGATGCAACATCCCACAAATCACATGCACTAGACAAGACCGAGCAAGTTCAGGCTCAACCTGATTACAACAAATTGAATATTACTCTCAAGTGAAAAGTGAAAGTAGTAAAATAAGAAGTGAAATTACAAAAGTAATTTTTGCAACATGTATTCCGATTTGAATTTTTTTAAAAAAAAATTACTGAGTACGAAAATTTTAATTAAAAAATTAATGGTTTTGATAATATAAAAATTATAAGAAAACGTTATTGCATGCTTACCCATACTGTTCTTATTTCCATTTAATGGAATAACAAGTCTAGATAGACTTGTCTCCGATTGGTATATGTAAATATATTTTAATGACAAAATTTTCTAGGACATTTCAATTTTTTAACTTTCCAAGATCATTCAATTAGTCTACTTTGTTCAATTTCACATATTTTGGCATTTTAAAACTATAAATACAATAGAAGAACTCAATTCTGATAAGTACCCACATGAAAAGAAATTCTTCATCTTCAACCCATGCTTAAACCATCACATTTTTAAATGCTGACCAATGGCCAAAACCACCTTGTATATATGTAACCCATAGAATTAGACAAGAATATATTCACAAATAAACACTCGAAGAGAGGTCATGTAGATGAAATTTGTCTTCATCTACATGACCTATCTTCATTTACAAAATTCATTTCACAAAACCACACAGAGTCACCCTCTCTCATATACTAGAAAATTAGCATGTAAAAACAACTACTATTAATTAGAAGATAAATAAAAACTTCCAAACCTAATCTTTACAATTGATTTTCTCTTCCACTGCAATGGAATTCTTGCAATGAGCAATTGCAGCTTGAATTGCAGCCTGCAACTCTTCCATGGTGCTGTCACTTGTAGAGGTGGCAATAGCTCCGGATGCAACAAGCAGCCCACTGTTGGTCGGCGACGTCCTCATGGACGCCGGTGCCGATAAGTACTCCCTCCTCTTCCCTCTCCCTGCATCTTCCTTACTTGATGATCTAAAGCTCAAATTAGCAGAAAAAGAGTAGGATTGTCTGCATAATTGCCTACTCTCCCTCCTCCCTCTAAATGACAAGAATGGCCTTATCATTCTCGCATACCTCTTCACCACATGACTCATGACCTCCAACCTTAGCTTCCTCTTTTGCTTCTCCTTGTCTTCTCCCTCTCTAGACTCACCCCCTTTTCGCCGTTTCGACAGGCTGAAGAACCAGAATGATTTGGACTTGGACTTGGTTCTTGCCTTTGTAGTACTCTCATGACCATTGATGTTTTCTTGATGATGATGATGATCTAGATAGTTTTTTTGGTTAGTTGTAGTACTACTATCTGTGGTGTTGTTTGTGGTTGTGGTCTTGTTGGATGGTTCTTCTAAGAGTTCTGTTATGGGGAGGGTAAAACTGTCCAAGGAATTGGTGGAGGAGCGAGGGGATTCCGGGAGGTGGGAGAGGAGGTGGAGTGGCAGCAAGTGGCCGTGGAAGAAGATGTCGTCGGCCGGAGATAAGTCGATGGCGATGGAAGAAGTTTGGGCTGCTTTGGGTTTATTGGGATTGATTGTTTGGAGGGAAATTGTGAAGGAGAATTCATGGGAAGGAGAGGAAGAAGGTGAAGTTGTTGTTGGTGGTGGTGGCGGTGGTTGTTGATTAGCTTCAACTTTGTCTCTCATCTTTGGGTGGTGTTGGGTGTCCATAGCTCAAAAGATGATGTTAAAAACCAGCAAGGCCTAATTCTGTTTGGGGACAGGGATAAGGAGATGAGGAAGATGGAAGTAGGGGGAATGAGAGAGAGAGAGTTGGTTACAATGCAACAGTTATATTTATCTAGAATTGAATTATTATTTATTTATTGAATTAAAAAAAAAAAAAAAGAGAGAGAGAAAGGGTGTGGTGGGTATTAGAGTGTGAGAGATGGAAAATGATAAATTGGGATGAAGTTAAATGTTTAGCTGTATGTGTTGAGATTGGTGGGGCATTGTCAACTCAACAGCTAGCTTTATAGCTATGTATCACAAAATCCAAGCTTTGTGCTTAGATGGACATATATGTAAATAACCAAATTTTTTTATTTTTTATTTTAAAAGTTAAAGCAATTACGCATACAACTTATATGCACTTAGGTACAAACCATTGACCTACCGTTGGGTCATTTGGTACTATGTCACAAAATCCAAGCTTAATTTGTGCTTAGATGGACATAAATATATATAAAACAATAAACTGATTGATTTATTTATTTTTAAGAAGTTAAAGTAATTACACATACACCTCATCTTCACTAAGATTCGAAATCCCGATGTACCGCTGGACCATTTGGTCCTTTAGTATGGCTTATATGTCACAAAATCCAAGCTTTGGACTTAGATGGACATATATGTATAAAAACCAAACTGATTTTGGTTATGGACATGAAATGGTTCTTCCTAACAAGGAGGTTGAGAAGAATCTTTGGAGATGGAATTAATATAGAATTAGCACACTAATTATTAAGCAATTATTGTGGAAGATGTGTTTCCATATACATAATATATACTATAATATACGTCCACTTCATCTTAAAGAATAACACCTGGTTATTATAGTACTAATTGAATTATTAGAGGTAACCTATTAAGAGGATGTTGATATTGAGTTTGCACACACATACTATTAGATGGAGAACATCATCAGTCTTTGCATTAGGATTAGAGTAAGGTCCACTAAATAGGATTGACCGCTTAGAGTATTCTGTATGGAGAGTCAATTTTGACTCTTCAAATTTGTGGCCAATTAGCTTTATTTTATTTTTTTATTTTTAACGGCTCTCCACTTTTTGAATGCAACGGATTTTTTTTTTTTTTTTTTATAAAATAAAAAAAAAAATACAACACGCAAATGAATGCTAGGTAGCAAGCTTACCAATGACAACAAAATTGCTAAAAGAATTTGTGTTAGGCATGGCATGTCATGTGGCGAGTCATATACCATACACGTTATGTGAGTCATTATATTTAATATTGACTCTCCATAAATGGATCATACCTAATGCCGTGAAAACTTTAAACCACGCATCCAACATCACAACTTTCATGCCAATTTTGCGAGTCTTTTTATTTATTTATTTTTTTCATTGGGCAGATTCATAGTTACCACTGCATCATCATAGTTCTCTTCACCCTAAATAGTTCCCACTCGAGTGATTTATACATCACATATAATTTAGTGGTAATTCTTATCCTTCAAAAATATAAGGTTTAGGGTTTAATTTTTCAAAAGGACAAAGTGAAAGTGCAGGTGTGTTTTGTAAATAAAAAAACTATGTTATCACTCCCTCCACATATTTGTACAAACTAACACATATAAATTAGATAGATTGTTTTTCCTGAATTAAAATTGAATATATTCTTAACTCTTATTATAAGCAAAAAAAGAATTAAAACTTCAAGAGGATGAGCTCAAGTGGGTAAAAAATTGGACTTGTGCCTTAAGAAGTATTAGTTCTGAGATCCGACTCCTATTGGCCGCAAGAAATTCATTGTGGAGTGTGTGACTGTGGAAGTATCAACTTCACAAAAAAAAAAAAAAAAAAAAAAAAAAAAAAAAAAAAAAAAAAACTTACATTAAGGACAGAGCCAGCAGGGCTAGAGGGCACGTGTTATACATGTGGTTTATTAAATTATACAAAATGCCCTCTTGAACTTCTTTTTTTTCAAAGCTGCCCCTGTGGGCCATGCTAGCATATTAAATTTTCTAACATTTTATGCCTATAATTTATTAAATTATACGAAATGACCCCCTAAATTTTTATTTTTATTTTCAAAAATCCTTCTAGTTCAGTAATTCTTTCTATTTTTTCCCTTCATACTCTTCTTCTTCAATTTTTTTTGTTTTTGATTACGTTAAAATTGCATTTTCTTTTTTCAATCAAATCCCTATTTTTTTTTTTTTGGTAAGTAAGAATGAGAAAACCCTTTCTTTTTTTTTTTTCCAAAGTTTTTCCCAGTTTTTTTTTTTTTTTTTTTTTTTTTTGACTAAAAACTTATTTTATCATGTGTTAATGTGCCCTGAATAAAATTCAGGACTCCCGTCCTGGTTTACATTAAAAGAGAAAAAGAAAAGAAAATATTTACTTGACATAATTTTAAATATTTTTTTATTTTTAAATGATCCATATAAAAATTGACTAAAAATATTATGAAGAGAAACATATACATACACAAACAGGCAACATGCACTCATAAGCACACATATATATATACACACACACACATACACACACACACACACAAACACAATAGATCCAAACTTGTTTATAATTAATTTGTTCCACAATTTTATTTTATATTTTCGGAAAGTTTGTTCCACAAATTTTTTTTTCCTCAAAAATATGTCACACACAAACACAATAGATCCAAACTTGTTTATAATTAATTTGTTCCACAATTTTATTTTATATTTTCGGAAAGTTTGTTCCACAATTTTTTTTTTCCTCAAAAATATGTTGTTATCTCCCTTGTATATTATTATTCCATATTTTGAAAACAATATATCCATTTTTTTTTTTTTTTTTTATCCTAACAATAAAAAACAACCATACAACATCTACAAAGAGCTTAGCGGTACCATATAAAAATTGACAAACAAATCATGAAGCAAAAAAATAAAACTAAAGAATGGGCTCCAGATTTGCTGAGAAAACAACGCACCAACGGAGCCACCAAAGAAGGAAAATAACAACGGGAGTGACCCACAAATCAGGCCATCGTCAAAATAACTGCTCTAAGGTTGCATTCACAAGGCGCGGCCGACGGAGAAGAAACCCCCTAACCCCGCACAAGAGGTAGGGACAACAAAACCCACACCGATGTGGGGACCCGACATAAATCGAAGATCTAATCAGAAAATCAAAAACAGATCTATCCCGTCAAACAAGAAATAAATTTAATAAGAGCAGATCTAACAAAAATAACAACAAAACAACATAAAAAATTCACCCACTAAACAATTATGTACAACATATTGAGTTTATTACGCGGTGAGAGGCGAGCATCGGGGCCTCCCCTCCTCCATGGAAAACAATATATCACATCCCGTAACAAATGGGTATCCTTGTGTGAAACAGGTAAGGTGGTATGAAATTATGAATCTAAGTCCCTATACACACAGTACCTAAGATATTTTCCATTATAAACGTCTATAGATATCGACATATATATTGTAAATATTTTATTGTCTCCCATTTGATTCTTGAGTCAACAGGAATGACCAAAACTGACGTGACTTTTCAGTCATTCATTGTTTCAAGCCTGGATTTACTTGCATGATTGGTGATATATAAATTAAGAAAAATTACAAATAAATTATACTCTTAAAAATATATCTTATTAATGGATAAATTTATAAATTTGTATTCATTAATAGGTCTTGAAGGTATAACTAGAACGAAAGACACGTATGCAAATTATGCAATCGCTTTTGTAACATTTTTTGTCTTGCATGATTGGTGATATATAAATTAAGAAAAATTACAAATAAATTATACTCTTAAAAATATGAGAACCAATCTTATTAATGGATAAATTTGTATTCATTAATAGGTCTTGAAGGTATAACTAGAACGAAAGACACATTTTTTGTCGCATATCTCGTTTTGTTGTCGAAAAGAGTTCCAAATCAGAAATACCAATTTAGTGTTTTTTTATATTTTTATAAGATTAAACACTGTTTTTTAAAAGGCTTAACTAGCCATTTTGTTTTTCAATCTTTCAACATTTTTTAAATTATACATGTTTTAACCATACATATTTTTATGTTTTTGTTTTAAAAAACTAAGAAACAAATTTTACATTATCAAAGATGCTCTCAATCATTATTAAGCACACAACACAACAACAAAAACGTTATTTCTATTTCGGATAAAAACAGAAACGCAAAACCGAACAGTTGTCAAACATGTCCCTAATTAAGAAGGTCAACATCCCAATCATGGAGTGATTAGTGGACGGACTCGTCTTCTCCACTTAACCACTCAAAACTCATAGTTTCTATGGTAGTATATGATGAGAGTGAGAGTGAGAGTGAGAGTGAGAAAGAGAGAGAAGCAACCATGGCATAAGACAAATACTTAACAGTCATACAGCAAGAACCACCATACCACGGTTGTGGAAACTTTTTTCTCCTTTTCAGCTTTTGCCACTAGCCACACGAGAGATGATACCATATTTATATTATCTCCCTCTCTCTCAAAAAGACAGAAGAGTAGTCGTAGCCATGGAAAAGCTAACACGCAAACATGGAGGTGAGACAAAAACTTTACTATCACCAACAAGTGGCATCAAATGCTCCATTATAAGTAAAATCTTATATTAATTTGCTGATAAAAGTCGCTGTAGAGCAACTCTAGGGTTATCCTAATCGGAAAATACCCATGTCTCATAAACTATTAGGTTTATTTCTCTTAGGTATAAACAATTTTTTAAGAACTACGTTCATAGACATAGTAAGAGTTTTACTCGATTCGTATGAGACACTTGCAAGTCTCGTGGATTAATCGGAACATCCCGATCATTAAAAAAAAGTCACGCAGGGACGGACCTACATGCATATATATGCCCTTGCTACTTTTTCCCTTTTTTCATTATATACCTATAAAATATTGCTATTGTCCCCTGAAATTATAAAAAGATTTCATTCTTGCCCCCCTCACCTAATGTTCTAGGTCCGTCCCTGCACACACTAGACACCAATGTGTGTAGGTTGCCTAGAAGTCGGAGCATCTCGCCAGAAGGTGTTACCCTCCTCCTTCACGGTCCACCAACATCAATCAATACACACAGATTGAATACATGATAAGAATTTCCAAGTTTCTAATAATTATACCAAATCATCAACCCCACTTTCATTTCATTTTTTTTTTACGGAATAATAATGGACCATTCAGACAAACCAAAAATATAATCCATTTTCATCTCATAGAAAACAAGATGGGATTTTCATCCATTCGTGCAATTGTTTATGGGATTTTGGACTTCCATTGGACAAAATTCACAGCATCATCAACAACTACTCTGCACTTCTTTTTCACCTGCAAGAAAATTAGAATGTTTCATACTATAATGTACCAGAGAAAGACCAAAAAAGAAAATGACAGCAGAAACTTAAGCAATTCGAAAGTTGGAATATTGATTTAACAAGTGAATGACAACATAGACCTTCTAAAGATTTTACGGCAAGACACCTTACAAATTAAAGATTATGTGATGTTAGTATTAGCGTAGACAATCACTTGTTAGTGCAGACAATCACTTGTTAAATCACTTGTTACAAATTAAAGATTATGTGATGCATAATTTATATGAACATAAATGTAATGTAGGGGTGGAATGCAATTAATTTTTTACAGCAATCTCCATATGATTTTGTGTGCGGTTTTTGTATGTCTTCTGGCACCTTGATTTCTTCCTTGATATATATCGTTGGGGCGTTTTGTTACCCCCAACACACTGCAGGCAGTAAACCATGTCCGGTTGGCAAACGTAATATATTGAAATGAAAACAAATAAAAGAATTTATGATGTATAACTTTCTAATTTTTCTTCTTTTTTTCATATTTTCTCTAATACTCCTCCTTTGTTCACACACATGTATCAAAGCCTCTGTTATACATGAATGGTGTCCATTTTTCATTTGGTTAGGTTTAGCTATCACAATGCCAAAACACCACAACCATTAATGTGGCAATTGATCGTGCATTTGCACAGCTAAGAAAGAGTTAAAAAGTGAAAACCAAGCCCAGCAGGATATGAACATAAAATCTCATTCTTCAAGCTTCCTCTCTTTTCGGCTCATACCAGACCATATCCCGACTTTTTTCGTGGTTAAGTTCTACCTATAATAATATTTTCATTGACAATGTCACTGCAAAGCTATGCTATTAATGAACAGAATGAAACTCGGGAAGCAATGATAATGCAATAAAATGGTACAAGCAGTTGGAAAGTGTCCCTCGTATGGTTACCTGCATTAGATCAAATGGCCCCAACATCTAAAAATCGAAGGCTCTAGACGTCGTTGCCTTCTTCAGAACTGTTCGCCCTTACAATGTACACCTGCAAAGAGAAGTTGAATTAATATCAATTTATATGCCAAACCATCTCATATTAAAAAATTGTCAGTTAATCAAAAATGCTGAGAAGGATTAGGTTAAACAAAAACAAAATGATCAGAGATGGTATGCACAGAATTAAGTGGCATACAATTCATATTTAATCAAAGATGCTTATTGTATACATAAATTATATATGATGTTAATCCGTTAAACCTATATCTAGTTTGAAAAACAAGCATGAATAAGTCCCAAAGAAGTGCTAAATTTGCAATCGTCACACCTTAAGTACTGTAGGCCGGATTAATTGGAACACCACTGCATCCCCATCCATCAGCTCATGATCAACTGCAAATCCTTTCCATCCACCGCTAAGTCCCGTTTTCCGAGCCAGGTATACTACTGGGTACTCTTCTCCCTCTTCATCTACCAATGTAACAGTTTCATCGCGCCTTGGAAGGTACTTCTTACAGAAATAAACTGGAATGCCCTATTTTGTCAAACCATGTACAAAGCAATTATTACTGTTTCTTAAAAGGTATATCAATTTCATCCATTTATATGCAATCACAGCATATCATAATAGAGATATAAGGGATATCCTGAGTTGCGCTGCTCCAAAATTCAATCTTTCGACGCTCTGTTTGTGGCTGGCCTATCTAATAAGCTAAAAATATGCACATGAAACCGTTCTAAATGAGGAGAATCTCAATGCCAATGCCATGATCACAAATTATCCTGGTCTAAAGGATCCTTGGTTCTTTACAAGTTCCAAGCAATATCCACTGTCTTTAAATCCAAAAATGGCGGGATGAATAATAATTAAAATAAATAAATAAATAAAAGAAGAGAGCACACAAAATCCAAAGGAGTACATCACTTTCGCTATATTTTCTCTCTTAATATTGATGGAGGATTCCTAAAATCAATCCCATAAATCACTCTAATCAATATTTTATTATAGGCTAAAATCACTCCTATGAAATTCTCCCAATAATTATCAATATGAAGAAAGAACAAAAGGGTTTAATATGGTGGGATCACCCATAACGTGGAGCCAAAAAGGTCTTAGCGATGGTCTTTAAGTTAGGCATAAATAGCATTAGAGATAACAATTTTAATGTTAAATTCGTGCTCTATCTGCTGTGTATGAGTAAAAGAAAAGGAATGAAAATGTGAAAAATCGAAACAATTGCAATAAACCAACAAAGAAGACACAACTGCCCATGATTGAAATACTGTCCCAAACAGCACCCAATAGTTTTATTAAGGGCCTTGAGGAGGAACAGTTTTAAAATTCCCAACTAGTTATAATAAGCATTAGTCAATTCATATGATCACCAACACTAAACCAACGAACTCTTCCACAAATTAATTGCAGGATCCAATTTTCACACCGGATTCACATACCTTACACAATCAGTAACATTAAAAATAAAAAAGAAAAGCCATAGATCAAATCAAGTCCCTTACCAGCCAGAACCCACCAGAGACATGTGAGGGTAGCATTGGCTTCAAAAGGGTGGGATAATTGTCTCCTAGACTCGATTCCAGCTCTTCCGCTTTCGCTATAGCCTTAGCTCTTGCTGCATCAGAAGCATATACCCGATCCGACAAGTCCCTCCTCCTTGGCTCGCTCCTCTTACAGATTCTACACACACAGTGTGTGTGTATATATAAGTATTAGATACACAATGCACAAAACCAGTAAACCCTGATCAAATAAATACTAAAGATTTAGAACAAACTACCTTCTACTATACTCGAAATGCTCAAAGGTGACCTGTCAATAATATTCGGAGTCAAAAAGATTGATTTTTCAGAATAGCGAGTGTGAGTAAAGAGGAGTAATTAGGGAAAAGATTAAGCAGAGTGAGAAAATAGCTTACAGCTTCTTTGTAATCAGGGGCTGGCTTGTTTGCGACACGATTCGACCTTCTTACCATCACTACTACCTTTTTCCTATCTGGGCGAGGATTCGACTGCTTCATCTTTCGAATGTACAAAAAAGCAGAGTAAGTTCATAGTAGTTAGGAACTTCTTGTCTGTGTGTGTGTGTGTTTGTGTGTGTATAGAACAGAGGAAGAGAGAGAGAGAGAGGTGAAAACCGGAGAGTGTGTAGGAGAAGAGTTCTTGAGAGCTAAAGAGAGATGGGGAAGATGGAGCTCTTCGATTCTTTTCTTGTTCTCCTCCAACCTCTGACGACGCAACTCCTCATACGTGACCTTAGCAACCACCATTTCTCTCTATTCATACACACTGTGAGAGAAAAAGAGAGCAGAGTTCTGCTTCTGAAATATTTTTCGAGTGGAATGGTTGAAAATTTGGGTGGTTTAATGGAGAGCGAAGTCGACCGTTGGACTCGCACTTTGAGTGCGGAACTTAATGGTGGAATCTGGTTGGATTACTTTTTAGTTGTATATTTATTATATTTATTTCTTTAAATAAAAATAATAATAAAAAAAATTGATAGTTTAAACTTGTTCACAGGGAATTAGGAATTTACCATTTCCATGTCTGGTCAAGTGATCAGAAGTTTACTCAAATTATTCCTGTCCAATCAAACGGCTCAATTTCAAATTTCAAATAAACTTTTCCTGGTACTTATATTAACCAATTTTTTTATTTTTTATGGTTACTTATAAGAAATTTTTTTTTTTTTTTTTCAATGTCTGGGTGTCCTAATTCACTTAATCCGACTATTGCTTTCAGATACCAACAAGCACCCCAAATTACCAAATTTGAGAAATTTAGATCAGGTATCCTATAAAAAAACAAAACAAATTTCATAAGAATTTAAAATTTGAAAATTGATAACAAGCCATATGTAATACTTAAAAACACGATGACACGACACTTCCGCGTTAGTTTGTCCTTATAAAAGCACCTTTGGATCTGTTTTTCACGATATCAATTGAACTTTTTATTTTTATTTTTTGTAAGTAAATCATAAACATGCTCATTTATCTCGATAATCAATCTTCTATTTAGAAGGAGGAGATACCACAAGAAAAGAACATTGTTTTCCAACTAAATCTCAAACAAATCCTAGCTTTAAATGCATTGTTTCTCAAAAAAAAAATTTTTTTTTTTTTTTTCAACTAGCCAACATTGAAGGAAAAAAGTAAATTGTTGCCGTCGTCATCATCCATACCTTTGTCTTATTCATATAGAGTTAGCCACACAATTTTTCTTTCTCCACTGTAAAATCACAATGAAAATTAACAATTCTGTGGGATTTTTCGGGGGTACAAGTGAAATTTAAAACAGATAAGAGCAAATTCAGGATTTACATCTAAACAAAATACGTTCCCTCATGAGATGGTCTACTGGTTCAAGAATCAAACTGGACTTGAAGGTTTTACTGATTGCACATCCATCGTTTCAGTCAAACTAAACTAGCCATCAAGAATGTGCATCACATTTTCCCTCTCTATCCCTCTGTCCGCGGTTGTGTACCGTATGTCATACCAAGACCTGTTTAAAATGCAAAAACATATTTATTTCTGAAATAACAGATTTTCTACCAAGATGAGAACTCAAAATCCGTGTACATATATACATTCAACTTTACAAGAAGTTTATTCATGGTATTATAAATAAATAAATAATACTGAATGCATTGTTACCATCAGCATGCTGAAGTACATACCTTAGCGGGAAGTATCAACAATACAACCTCGAGGCTGTATCCTTCTAGTATTTTATCAAGCCCAAGCTCTTCAACCAGGGGAGTACCTCCGCCAGACCTTCTTTCAAGCTTCTAGGGTTATAATCCAGCTCTAACTTGGCCTTTTCGCAAGAGTAGGCCCATTGATGTTTGAGAACATACACAGTCTGTTCACGATAGAGCTTTAATAAATTGTAAATTTTAAAAGCTAGAAATGAAGGGGGAAAGAATAAGATGAAAAAGAAAGAAAGAAAATAGGGTAAAGTGCAACAACAACAACAAAATACTTTGGAACTACTGAAAATATGCATATAAGGCCACGGCGTCATCTGGTCGCTAAAAGAAGTGTGAAATAACTACTTTGCCCGCAAATTTTTAATAAATGAAAGAAAAAGTGTAAGAATAAAATAGGTGCAAGTGATTAAACGACATCATTTCAATCTGACCATATAAACTACTGCCGTCTTCCATCTTGATGGTGATCAAGACACAAAAGTCCCTATCCATCAACTATCTCATCCACACACTTCATGCCCCTAGTTCAAATCAACCATCTAAGAGGGAGAAATAGTTCGAAGTCAAAATCAATTTTTTTGTGATTAAATTCATTTTCTGGTTACAACCTTCTCAAAGCACGTAAAACCTTTTGGTTATAAGACAATTCGTTTGTAGACTCTTTTTCTTTTCCTGTTTCAATTTCTTTCAGCTTTCCAGTATGTGCTTTCCCTATGTGGGTTTTGGGTATCTTCTGATGTGGATATACAGTGCGGCCCAGAATTTAGTTTTTAACACAAAGGTGGATCTTTCAAGGATTTCAGGTGAATAGAGGAACCAAGCAGTCGATTTCAGAGTTGGATTTTGAGGGATTGTGGTGGTAGTGAGGGCCACAAGAGGAAGACCTACTGTTGTTGGTTCTCATTACAAGAATGAGTTCATGATGAGATTGGAAGGGTCTCAAGATCAAAACCTTTCGATCTGAAAAATTAGTTAGTCCCATCTTCACTATTAATGGCCCCCATTTATGCACCGAGAGAGAAATGAGTGAACCCCTATACCCAACCGACCAACCAAATAAGAAATATAGATTGCACGAATTGATTGAAACTTGATTGGGACAGATTTACAAGGAATAAGAACAGCCATAGCCTCTTTGGCTTCAATGAAGCTCAACAAAGGCAGTCATTGGCATTGCAGAGAGGTGAGAGATGATGCGTGATAATTTCCTCCACAGAGACAATAAATAAACGGAATCTGGGTTTGACCCTGTTGTATTGCGTAATCCTTGCAAAGGGTATTTTTGATATTTATCAATTTCTATAAACTCATGCGACTTATTTGTGCACTTGTAAAAGTTAAATTATTAACGGCACTGTGATGGCAGGGTGGGTTTTGCAACAAAATGTACTAGTTCAGGGTGTTTTCAGCCAAAAGTATAATTTAGGAGGGTTTATCATAGAGGGATAGTTCAGAGTATTTTTTTTGTACTTTACCCAAGAAAATATTATATAATCAGAGCAAGAATACATGTCAAGGGATGGAAAGACCATTCACAGAACCCAGGGCAAGTTGGGGGACCCTGAGGGTGAACATGCACACTAACCCAGCTTATACAAAAAGTGATGTGACATTAGATTAATCACAACAATCCAATCACACTGCATTTGGATTCACAAAATTCAAATTCGTATACAAATTTCAAATCTTTGGTTTTGTTTTTCACATTTTAAAAAAGCAAGGAGCTCTAAACGTTATTATAGTCAATAAAATTATGAGAACGCATAATTAGACACAAAATGGCAGAAATGGTGGTGGTAGGGTGGTTTAGATGGTGAACTGTAGCAATGGCAGCTTGGTGCTGTGCTAGTAGGAATGATGGAAATGATGTGACAACAAAGGTATGGTGGTGTTGGTGCTAGTATTGGTGATAATGCGGTGTAGATGGCAGAAGTGCCAGCTGTGGTACAGCTTGTCACAGTAGCAACAGAAGTGGTGTTGGCAGTAGCAGTAAGATGAAGATGACAGCAATCTTTTGGCAAAGACAGTGGCAAGGTGGCAGTGATGTTGTGTTAAACATTTGTGTAATGGCGGTGGCTTGGAGACAATGGGGTGGTGGTGGTTGCAGCTGCAGTCATAGTCTACAGATCTGCGAAGGACATAAATCCTTGTTGATGCTGACCTTAAAGATAAACAGCCTTGCCGGCAGTTCAAAAATACTCAGATTTTGGGGTTAAAATCATGCAGTAACATAATTATTTCTGAAGCTAATGCATGTGGTTCTGTTGTCTCACAAATGAAATCATTATGCTGATGCTTAAACAAGAAATTTCTGATTTGAGATTGGATCATAGATTCATATATCAGAACATTCAGTAATCCTTGATTGTGGATGTAACACTTAAGGAAATGATACTCCAAATAAAAAAACTCAACACCAGCTAAAACTATAGGAGTCATAAAGAGCATACCGGTGGGCTGATCAGGGGAAGCTTTCCTGTTATTCTAGAGAAGAGAATCGACAACCATCCATAAGTCTCAATCACCAACAAAGGGATATTAAACCAAGGCCTTTTTGTCTGAGTGATACTGGCAGCTATATCAAAAACATGCATGAAGGATGCATTTTCTCCTGTCAGAAGATATCTTTCACCTGGTCGACCTTTGTTCAAAGCTGCAATGTGCCCCTCTACTACATCGTCAACATGACTAAATGAAAACATATCGTTTCCATAGCCTACATAACCAGGTAACCGACCATTGAAGCGTTCAATTATCTGAAAGAAGCACATAAATTGTTCTCAAATGCATCATAAACTTCAATCATCAAAAAGAGCAGAATATGACCTCTATAATCAAGAGTAAGTAGGCGCATTTCATAGCTTATCATCAAGTATTATGATATTTGCTCACTAATAAATAATGCACCAAGAATTATTCTGATCAAAGAATTAGGATCCCCTCCTGTGCATTAGATGGTCCAGTGTACAGGGAAGTGTACAGATCACCTCAGCGGTTCCAACAAGTAGAGTGGAACCCACTCCATGTGGGAGAGATCTCCATCCTATCCTGTGCACTCAACGGACCAGTGCAAGGAGAGGATCCAGGTTCTCCGATCAAAAGGTGCGTATTTAGAGAGAGGAAATTTTGATAAATGCAACACCATAAATACATAGTAACTTTCAGGTCATGCCATCAAATATGTTGAAGATGTTGTGGTGGACATTGTTCAAAACCAGAATTCATACTTCCACTAACAAAAGGATATGTGGTTCGACGAAAAAGCTAGAAAACCCCATACTGATTTTAAACAAGATCTCAATTAGAGCAGTATAATTAGTTACCAACTATATTAGATGCTTCAAAAAGTGAAGACCAAACCACAGGTCTGGCATATGCAGATATCAGATAAACACACACAAAGACATTTTTGTTTTAACCAATTATTGCTATTTGCTACCAGTTTAAAAAATAAATAAATAAATCATGGCTGCTACTAAATTCAGCTGAAGCACAAGTAAAATCTTTACCATTCGTGCCACGATATTTCCAGTTGTGACCTTGCCAGGACCATATACAACTCCGGGATAAACCGCTACTATTGGCACCCCCTTCGCCGCGGCATCAATAGCGATCTTATCGGCAACAGCCTTCGATTTCTCATACTCCGTACAGAAGAACTTCGCAGGGTGAATCTGAATCCACAAATAATCTTCTAAAAAACAAATATTAAAAAGTAATCAAAGTCATGCATCAATGGTAATCGATATTATTCAATACTTGACTCTCGTCTGCGACATATCCATCAGTTGATCCCAAAGCGAAAAACGACGACGTGTATATTATCTTCTCCACTGTCTTTGTTTCTTTATATGCTTGCAGTACGTTCTTCAAACCTCCAACATTAACCTAAAAAATGAAGACCACAAATTTAAGTCTGAATTCAATGAAATTCATATAAAAAATTGCGAGAATTGGAGCGAGAAGGGAGGGTTTTGCTTGCCGAGAACAATTTGGAAGGTTCTGGAAGCCAAGGTTCGACCAGGGCGGCGGCATGGAAGATGACATGGCATCCGGAGCAGGCGTCGAGGAGGGACCCATAGTCGGTGACGTCTCCGTAGGCGAGCTCCAGAGATCCGCCGCAATCATCGCCGTCGGTAGGCCGAGGAAGGCAGGAGAGCTCGCTGGTCGGACGGACGAACGCTCGGACGGAGTGGCCGTGTCTCAGTAGGGCATGGCAGAGTCTGCCCCCTAAGTAACCGGAAGCGCCGGTCACCAAAACCTTTTTCATTCTCACTCTTCCCGTCTCACCCAATAAAGTCAACAGCGTTACTCTTCTTTTTCATTCTCACTCTCACTCTCACTCGTCTCACCCAATAATACCATCATGTCTTTAACTTGAAGATAAAGAGATTATTAATTAAAAATACGAATAATAATAATTTAATAAAAGTTGATGAGCTGTGAATTTAAAGACTGCACACCAGAGTTCCACATTTAGAAATTGGAACGGAACTGGAGACATGTAATAATACATCTGTTTGTTTTTAAAATTATTAATTTGTCTTTTTTATTTCAAATAAATATAATTATTAAGTTTGAATTTATTATTAATTTGTCTTTTTTATTTCAAATAAATATAATTATTAAGTTTGAATTTTTTAAAAAATATAAAGGACAATGATAAAAAGATAAGACTTATATGTTTTAATTTTTTTAAATATTTAAAGGCATCAATATTTACAATTCTTGAGAAACATATATATATATTTACAATTTCACACTTCCTTTGACTCACAATTCTAGGTCTTTATATTTTTCCTTACATTCAAAGGTATCAATATTTATAATTTAAATGTTTGTCTAAAATTTTCTTCTCCTCTCTATAAAAGACTATATCCAAGTTTCCACAGGTTTTGTGATGGTTTGAATTTGCATTACAGTTTGAGAGAATTCTATACGCAACTCTGTAAAGTTCCATGTATTTCAATTCAGCTTCCAGTGAACATCAAGTATTCTGAAGTAAACTGTTAGCCAAGTGAATCTGGTAATTAAACCAAGCAACTGCTGTAGGATGCTGTCTAAAAAATTATCTAACACACTTAAATAGTGTTTTAACACATTTTCAAGATTTCAACAGAAATTCTGTGTGTTTAAATCTAGAACAAATATGTTGGAACAAGAGTTAGCTGTGTTAAAAATCTCTTTTAAACATCATTACCTATTTGTTTCAACGCGTGTTTCAAGTGTCAACACATTTGTTCTAGTTGTAGGTATTGAAACAAGAACAGATGAGTTAAAACACGATTTTAAGTGTGTTTGAAAATCTCAGCAGCACTTTGCAGCTAGGAAAGACTAATCCGGACTCCATAAAGATAGCTCCGAATGGTATGTTTCCTTATCTCACTAATGTAGATAACTGCCACGAATTGCAGTCAAGTTCTATCTCAAAAATAAAAAGGTTGAGGGCTAAAATTCCTGTAGGGGCAAATTCACACACACGCAAGAAGGGAATATATGTATGTATGTATGTATGTTTGTATCGGAAAAACTGCAGTTCTCAAGAAAAACTTAGACCACTCCCAAAGGAAAGGAGCTTCCATCAGCAGGAGCATATTCGGCTCGTAAGATAACCGAGAAGGCCATAGAGAGGGAAGAGCAGCAGTCCAAAGGAAGGAAGACTTTTTTTAACTTCTACAGCTGCCCAGTGAGGTGCTTGATTATGAAGGACAAGTGAGCTTGAGGTGGAAGAGCCAAGGCAAGACAGATATCTCAATGAAGCACCCTGAATTGCTTCACTTAATCTCCACGCATCATTCAATCTGCATGCATCACTCAACCATCTTTAACATTACTAGCCCAGTCAACGATGAACTAAAACTTAATATGCAAATAAATATATAACAATCACCAATTCAGAGTTATTAAACATTGTCTGACATCAGCTAATGCTACGTTAACACAAATATGGAATGAAGCAGGAAAATGGAGTGTAAAATAATGGAAATTAGGCAGGAATGGAATAAGAATTCCAATTCCACTGTTTGGTAAACACACAGGCTGTAGCCTATTGGCACTTCCAAAGCAGAAAATCGAGGGTGCAAGTGGGTGTGAGTGTGTTTCTTGCCAAGGTTAAAAAAATAAAAATAAATAAATAAAAACAAAACAAAACAGAACTTACAAGGGTGAATACGTTAAATGGTTGACAATGGCTGAGGGTGGTAGTGACATGATGAGGCATGTAGGTGTTGCTCTGTTTGCGGTTTGACAGAGAGGGAGAGAAAGGATGATATAGACAAGGAAGACCAACTCAAAATTACTGTAATGATTCTCTCATGAAAAGGACTGCCTTTCCCCTAGCTGATAGATAAGAATAGGTATTCCAACATTGAGGGAGTGGCCATTCTACCTTCCAACTTAATGTTGGCTGACCAAACAGTGGAAGCGGAACGGAGAGCTGGAATGGACATTCTGTTCTGCTACAAACATTTCCCGATAAGATTTTTCTCCCCGAGAAGATTTTTCTCTTCCTCGTCTTCATCTATTTTATCAGCTTCCTTGCCCTCTTCTATCCCAACCACTACTTTGCTACTTCTAAAATTAGCTTCAGCCAAGGCATGACACAATTCCCTATCAACCAAAACTATGTTCTCCAATGATCTCAAAAAAGCTTCTAGCTCTTCAACTTCTCCATTTTTATCAAGCCAATTCAATATGCTTATAATCAGTCTAGGTTTAGGCCTCCAACCTTGATTTTCTGCCTGTACTGCCAGAGCTTCCTTCATGCATTCTAAAGCCTTCCCCATGTTCTGCTTATCCAAATGTGCTGCAGCAATGATTGCCCAACTATTTGGAGTAGGAGTCTTACCTCTTTCAATAATATCCTGAAGCGATGCTTCAGCTTTCTCAATCAATCCCTTCTGGCAGTAACCAATGAGGAGAACATTGGGCACTCGGAAATCATAATAGAGGCAAGATGACTCCCACTCCTTGACCAATGCCTCAGTTTCTTCCAGCTCATCAAGCTTCACCAAAGAACTCAGCATGACTATATAGTCCCTGTTAAAAAGCTTCTTACAAACAACTTTTTGGAGGCTCCACAATCTCATCACGTCATCTTTTTTCCCAAGATTTGCATAGAGTGAAATCAAGTAATTGTAGCCAACTGCATCTTTATGTAGTTTTGTTTCTGATTTCTTCAAGAAAATGAGTGCTTTCTCATTGAATCCGTTTTTTATGTAGCAATTGGCTACCGTGCAATAAGTGCTCCAGTCCACAGAGATCTGATGGTCATTCTCCATTTCTTCTAGAACCTTCTCCATGCTTTCGATTTGAGATCTTCTCCCATATGAATTAATGCAGATTTTGTAACTGAAGTTGTTAGGGGAGACTCCATTTTTCTTCATCTCTGACAGCACATCAGGGATTTTCTCTATCTGGCCTGTATGTGCGTAGAGGCACATGATGTCATTGTAAGAGAGGGCAGAGGAAGCAAAACCCATCTCCTTCATCTTCTGCATAAGGGAAAGGGACTTATCAATAAGACCCTCTCTGACATAACAATTTAAGAGTGCACCATAGGTTTTGTCAATCTTTTCTTGGTCACTCAAGTTATGGAAGAAGATTTCAGCAGCTTTCAGCCCACGGACCGTGCCAATCAGATCCAACTGCACAGCACAATCACCTGGTGAAAGTGGGAGTAGACCTTTGCCACTCATCCACTCAGATATCTGCTCCAACAAGTGGCCAACAGCAGAAATTAAAGTTAATTTTTTTCTTTTAAAAAAAATAATAAGGCAACTTAAATTCATGGTTACCAGATAGGAGTACAGAAATAATGGAGCAGGAAAAACGTTTCAGAATGAGTAGTATTTGAAAGTTTGAGAACATCCCAGCAAAACAATTAAGATTAAAATTTTCGACACGTTCGGGTAAAGTTATCATGAACACTGAAGTTGAACACAATGCCAACTCAGCTACCCCATGCAACAATATAATCGCCAATACTTTAATGAAATATATAAGATGAAGCTTTCTTGAAATATATGGAGTTCAGTCATGATGGTTGATACCTGACCAACCCACAAAACACTAGTTCAACATAGTAAGAAACATAGAAACAAGTTGCCTATGATCAAGCTCATGTGCAAGCCAAAGTTACAAATTGCTTATAAAAGCTACAGTTTCAATTTGTTTCATATAACAATCAATTTTGTCCCCAGCCATAAACTTCGAGCTAGCAATGAGCAACCCCAAATACACTGACTCTCTTCTCTACACAGGGACAGTCACTTCCTCCCTTCTTTTGTTGGGTCCCGTTTCCTTCTATTCTTCACTGACTCTCTTCTCTACACAATGAGTAATCCCAAAGACACTTCCGGTGATCAATCTCCCCAGTGAGGCGGCAGCCAACCTGCCCTGCCTCGCACCACCACTGGAGAAGAACCAGCCACTCTACCATGCAACAAACTGATCAAAACCCTAATCCCCACCATGCCTGTGGTGGATCATTATCGTCCGCTGGTGCCGCCGGTGATCCACTTACAAGAAGTGGTGCATTGAGTATCGGCGGTGGTGGTGCAGAAGGAGGCAATGTTAGGTCGGGTCAGGCTGAGGGTGGATGTGATCCCAGACGACTAATCCTCCAAAGAAGAGATACAGGGAGGCAACTCAGGTGCCAAGTCTTCCAGAAAATCAAAGAAGAAGCAGGTTGACCTCCTTCTTCTTTGTTTGGTCGAAGATTCAGCACCCAGGTCGCCCTCCCGGGTATCTCTTCTTTGGAGGAGTAGTCTTCTGGGGATCACATCCACCCTCAGAGGCTCAGCCTGACCCGACCTAACATTGCCCCCTTTCACAACACACGACGGGCACTCAATGCACCACCTCTAACAAGAGGTAGCAACCAGCGCCCAATAATGATCCACCAACAGCATGGTGGGGACTAGGGCTTTTACCAGTTTGTTGCATGGGGGAGGAGTGGGTGGTTCTTCTCCGGTGGTGGTGCAAGGCGGGCAAGTTGGCAGCCGTCTCGCTGGGAGATTGATCTCCGTGAGTGTCTTTGGGTTACTCATTGTGTAGAGAAGAGGTTAGGTGAAACAATAAAATGACTTTACAAATACAAAAATGAACAATATACAGTTTTGCACTAAACAGTGTTTTCCCTAATGATGATTTTTGTATCTTTCCAAAAGTAGAGCATTTTAAGTTGATGGTCTATCTCGTTTTGGCTTCAGAAATTGTGAAATGCACCATCCAATCCAAAAATGCCAAGATTTCGATCTTGTTTTCTTTTCCAGCATCATTTTCTCATCAAGCATATAAAAACGTTAGAAAAATGGACACACACAGAGAAATGATCGGACCTCAAGGGCATGAAAGTACCGCTTGCGGTAGCGGAGATTGCGAATGACTTGTCGATGCTCGAAGTCTCTGAAATTTTTTCCCTCTTGGAGCCATTGATCGAGAACGGGGACGACGCTGAGATTAGGGTTCCCGATAGAACAAATTCTGGAATAGAGGGAGTCCATTGCTGAGTACCTTCCCCTGCGGTAGGATCTGATCAAGCACGTGCCTTCGAAAGCATTTCTAGGGTTCAAAATTGATCGATTTAAGACTCTGAATACACATTGCTGAATTGAATTCATGTGTTCGCATGAAGGAGATGAGAGAGAGAGCGAGAGAGGTGTTTTGGGGAGTGTTGTCGTCTGAGAGCGTCTTCTAGATTTGAGGGTTTTAGTACATTGTTCAACTCCCCCACCACGATATTTATATGGTCTACACAAACGGGTCGGATTTTGTAACACCTCCAATAAATATTAAAATGAAATAAAATAAAATCTCTCCTATATGTTTAATTCATTAATATTAAATTTGTAAGTTGCAACCTCTCCAATTTGATTTTTGTTACCCATTTTTTTTAAGTAGAATCTCTCTGTTATTTCATTAATGGTCATATCAATTTATTTTTACTATCAATTTTGTTTTGTTGATTCGTGATCTCATGTATTACTACAATTTCAATAAAGTTAATTAAAAAAATGCAACACTCATCAAATAATATTATTAAATCAAAAATTTAATATATTTACATAATTATTAAAAATTATATAGTAATATCTTTTTTAGAAATAAAATAAAAATTTTGTCAAATATCAAATGAAATTAATGCAATTAGGATTTTCAGTTAGAGGTGTCATAAACTGATAAACATATTTTATTTGGTTTTAAAAATTCAACGAGTTTAACTTAATTGATACATTAGTTAAACATGTCACGTTCAATACCAAATTCGCTAAGATATTTACAGCCTATTTAAGTTCGTTAAATACGTAATAATGGAGGTAATGTTTGTGTTGGAATTTGAAAGGTTTTAAACTCCTGTTTCACACAGTAGCTCATTAATTTTTCAATTTAATGCAATAAAGTTAATTCACAAAATGCAACACTCATAAAATAATATTATTAAATTGAAATTTTAATAAATTTACATAATTATTAAAAAATTATATGGTAATAGCTTTTTTAGATTAATGCAATTAGGATTTTCGTTAGAGGTGTCATAAACATGTTTCATTTAGTTTTGAAAATTCAACTGGTTTAACTTAATTGATACATTAGTTTAACATGTCACGTCCAATACCAAATTCGCGAAGACATCTACAACCTATTTATATAGGTAATAATGGAGGTAATGTTTGTGTTGGAATTTGAAAGGTTTTAAAATCTCTATTTCACATGGCAGCTCATTAATTTTTCAATTTAATGCAATAAAGTTAATTCACAAAATGCAACACTCATAAAATAATATTATTAAATCAAAATTTTAATAAATTTACATAATTATTAAAAATTATATAGTAATATCTTTTTTAGAAATAAAATAAATTTTTGTTAAATATCCAATGAAATTAATGCAATTAGGATTTTCAGTTAGAGTTGTCATAAACATGTTTATTTTGGCTTTGAAACTGATTTAACTTAATTGATACATTAGTTAAACATGTCATGTCCAATACAAAATTCAGAAGATATCTGCAACCTATTTAAGTTCGTAATAATGGAGCTAATGATTGTGTTGGAATTTGAAATGTTTTAAAATCTTCTGTTTCACGTGGTAGCTCATTAATTTTTCAATTTAATGCAATAAAGTTAATTCACAAAATGCAACACTTATAAAATAATATTATTAAATCAAAAATTTAATAAATTTGCATAATTATTAAAAATTACATAGTGATATCTTTTTTTAAAATAAAATAAAATTTTGTTAAATATCAAATGAAATTAATGCAATTATGATTTTCAGTTAGAGCCTTAGAGGTATCATAAACATGTTTCATTTGGTTTTGAAAATTCAATGCGAAGATATCTACAACCTATTTAAGTTCGTTAAATGCGTAATAATGGAGGTAATGTTTGTGTTGGAGTTTGAAAGGTTTTAAAAGCTTCTGTTTCACATGGTAGCACATTAATTTTTCAATTTAATGCAATAAAGTTAATTCACAAAATGCAACACTCATAAAATAATATTAGTAAATAGAAAATTGTCCCACCTCTCTCTAACTTTCTCTCTCTATCTAGTCTTCGTCTTCTTCCCTCTGTGCCTCCCTGCTCTCTTCCATGAGAAGTGGGAGATGATAGTTAAACTCGATGTGTATCAATAAGTGCGCTCTGTGGGTATTTTTTACGCAATTTTTTGTTTTTGTTCGGTTAGATCTGCTCCTGTTGGGTTCGTTTTCGGCTCTCATTGACGGATCTGTTGTTCTTCTTCGAGTAGATTTCCAATCTAAGTCGGTTTTGGTTTTTTCCCGCCTAGATTTGATATTTTTCTCCTTGATTTAATCTTGTGCGGGGTTTTGGGTATCGGAGCGCCTTGTGGCTTTAATTTTGGAGCTGTTGCCTGAATAATGGTCTGACTTTTGAGTCACTCCAGTTTGTTGCGTTTCTCCAATGGTAATTCCGTTGTAGAGTTTTAGGCTCTGTTTTCTCTACAGATCTGGAGCATATTCTTCATTTTTTTGTTTTCTTCATAATTTGTATGTTTTTTCTAGCTTGACTTTGTGGCTTTGAAATGACAAAAATAAATAAATAAATTCAAAATTTTAATAAATTTACGTAATTATTTATAATTATATAGTAACATCTTTTTTCAGAAATAAAATAAAATTTTGTTAAATATCAAATAAAATTAATGCAATTAGAATTTTCAGTTAGAGGTATCATAATAAACATGTTTCATTTAGTTTTAAAAAAGTGATTTAACTTAATTGATACATTTAGTTAAACATGTCATAAGTTCGTTAAATAAGTAATAATGGAGGTAATGTTTGTGTTGGAATTTGAAAGGTTTTCTTCTGTTTCATATGGTAGCTCATTAATTTTTCAATTTAATATTTAGGTTATCAGCGTTTTGATGACGATTTATTGGGTTTCTAAAATTTAATTTATTGGATTTGACCATTAGGCTTTTGATGCCTATATAAAGGATTATATTTTCTCTGGTCTTTATCTTCTTTTCATGTGTTTCCATGATGTTCCGGTAAAGTTACATGTTGTATACTTTACAATTATAAAAATCTATATTACAAATGTAAGGGCTTTCTTTTATCGTCTGCAAAAGATGGTGGTAAGATTTTAGTTCAATGTCCAGTGAGCGTTTGCTCATTTATCTATAAAAAAAAATTAGATAATGCACATACCCACTCATTTATACCTATTTAACTTCTCATTCGGATCCGATATAGGACAAGTAATATCCACGCTAACATTCACCCCACCCGAATTCGCAACCCCCTCGTTACAGTTGCCTACCCGGGTGGACTCACTCAGACGCCTCCAAGCCAGGCGTTTAGCATGACACCGAATTAAAGACTGGATGTGACTCTGATACCAACTATAATGGACAGGCACTAAATACCCACTTATTTATGCCCATTCCACTTTCCGTCGGATCCTATCTAAAAAAAAACTTTCCGTCGGATCCTATCTAAAAAAAAGTGTTGAGTGTGTGTGTGTTTTTAACCTATATAAAAAAAAGTGTTCAATGTACTTGAGCACATTCATAACAATGGATCAAACGGATGAAAATGCACAACGTTCTAACAGTCGCAATCAATATACATCCCAAACTTGTGGAAATTGGGCAAGACAAGATTACACCTTGAAAGTGCAGTGTACAAGCACCTTTTTGAAACCATTGTGGAAATTGAGTGTGTGTGTGTGTGTTTTTATAAATAAAAAACACAAGGGGAGTGCAAGCAAAGAGAAGTAGTGTGTTAATATCATCAAAATGATAATAATATAACAACAGAAACCAAATATAACATGGATGTGGATAACAATACTCATCTAACTAAATTGGTACATCTGCTGACCTCATATTATCAAAGTATAGCAACATAATATCTAAAGGCAAACAGGAAGTAGCAACATCCAATAACCATACATGAGCACATTGTGTTTACTGTGGAGCATAGTACTTCCAACACAACAAGCTAGAGAAAGAAGAAACAAATACCCAAAAGAAAAAAAAAAAAAAAAAGGAAGGAGAGAGAGAGATCGTCATTTCTGGAAGGAATATATATACTTACGACGACTACAAGAATTTTTCTATGCTGGTGGTCAGTGTTGATTTGGGAACCGCACCAATAACTGCATCTTTCTTCTCTCCATCCTTGAAGATCATGACAGTCGGGATGCTTCGGATCCCATATCTGGTTGCAATTGAGGGGCACTCATCAGTATTTACCTTGTAGCATTTTAGTTTACCAGCATAAACCTTTGCCAATTCAGAAACAATAGGGTGGATCATACGGCACGGCCCACACCATGGAGCCGAAAATTCAATCAGAACAGGAGAATCAGACTCTAGTACAAGTGACTGCCATGTTGCATCAGTGACGGGAGGAACTGCAGTTATTTAACAAACATAAAGCAAAATTTCATTTATGTGGCAAGTTGGATGGTTATATAACTGTTTTCAAACCAATGTTGAAAATTGGGCAGTAATGTAAAAAGAATAAAAAAGAAAATGAAGGATTATTGTAAGTTTTTTGCAAAATATTTACAATACCTAAAAATAAATAAAAATAAAAATAAAACAAACATTCAGAATGACCATATTAAAGGAGTGTTATCGGATGTGGAGAGTCATCATAAATTATGTCAATGCCATTGTTCCGTTAGTATTTGCAAAAGATTTGATCCTTGATCGCTGTGGGTTTTAAGTAACAAGTTCCGAATGTTTGCCTCCTATAAGAAAATGATTGGAAGGCGCAGAGAGACAACATGGGAAGATTTAGTTGTAAATTATGATCACTTTTAGGAACTCCTATGCAACATATCTTCGGCAAAAAGTAATAAGTAAACTATTCATAACAAATATTATAGGATTACAAATGTTCATGAATGGAACAAAAGATAAAAAATTATGTTTTCTTCACATCTCATTACCGTTGGCTTATAGGGATGATGATGCAGGAGTAAAGAAAACATCCTGATGCCAACTGATCCAGAACCCAAAAGAGCTTTGAAATAATTTGTTGTAGAAAAAGGGGGCTGAGACAAAAAAAGATGAAATGAAGCAAAAGGGATGAGAAACAAATGATGAGATAAAGCCAGACACGAGGATGTGAAATCAAACAAAGAAACAAGATGAAAGGGGAGAGACCCAAATCAATATTCTTCACAAATTCTTCATTAATCAAGTCTGAATAATTCATTACAAGAGCCTCTTAGATATAGGGAAAACAAAAGCAAAATAGAAAATCAAATAGAAATGACTAATAAACCGATAAAACCCTAATAATCTAACACTAGGGATAGAAATTCTAAATTATTAAAATTTAAAACCTAATAAATAAATAAAATGAAATTTCCCTCAATTTTAATCTCTCTGCCTAAAATAAGTGAGAAAGCATGTGTAGCACATGGCTCCTTGTCTCGATCAAAGTGCTTGAAATCAGTTTCAATTTTGGTTGCTTCTTCTATAGAGTTTTTTTGAGATAAATGAGAATATGGTTTATTGCCCTTTCAGTATAGACGGGGCAAGCAATCAGCTGGTGCAAGGTAAAGCCCTTCAATATATAGTTTTATATAACTAGGCTCAAAGTTTGTATATACATCATATATCCATGGTTTGGACATCTGTTTGATTGAGCTGCGCAAAAGCCGATGCACCTTATCCCATCAGTTTTCTTGCTCATTTGCAATATAGAAAAATTGCTGGCCTTTGCACTTTTTAATGAATTCTTTACTTATTAAAAACAAGATGTCAACCAGCATTAATAACATGGACACTATAGGCTTTCTTTTATTGTGTACAAGAAGTACACCCCATTTGGTACCTTTTGTAGTTCAGTTTGAGAAAATAAATAAAAAGGAAGAAGAAAATCCTATACATTCTTTCACGGGATCCATAGTCCATTTTGAGACCATTCAGCGTTCCACTTTTTATGAGTCAAACCAAACATAAACAGCTCTTTTCATATATTAGTAAATAGAAAATTTATGTGAAGATTCTTTTAACTTTTAATCCATATGTGAATGAAAATGATCATTTTTCAGAGCCCTTCACGGCCAATAAGTGATCTTTCAGTCTCATTTTCAATTCTCAAAATATTTTCCTTTTCCCAGATTCTCTTAACTTTGAATCTAAGGTACTTAACCAACCAATTTGTTTGACCACTAAGAGCCTATTTGAGGATCATCAAAGATATATGGTCACAATATGCAGCCAACAAGATTATTGACATAGAGTTCAACATCCCTTATGTTAGTGATGATATGCAACTACTTCAAAAATGTATCATCCATTGCCCCAAAATAAATGTTCCTTTTGAATAGTCAGTCAATGTCAATGTATAGTCAATTAAAACAAAATTATCAATGTTTAGCTTCAAAAAGCTCAAAGTAGACTTCACACTCATGGTTAAAAAATTTGATTAAAATTCAATTAAGTCAATGAGTTTAACAACCAATTGAAGATAATGAGCAATTGACTCTTGATTTTTCATTTTTTATGTTTTTTGGGGAAGGTGGTCAACTCTTGTTCATTAGTATATAACATTTGAGAAACATAAATAAAAAACAATATTTTGTAGCCTCGACTTCAATGAATACAAAATTTTCAAACAATTTAAAGCATTATCTATCATTTTCGCAACCAATTTCATCCCAAACAAAACCTGAACTTTCTACAAGAACCATAGCACACGTAAAGAATTTCGGTTCTCAATCAAAATTGAGTTCGAACTACTATCACTATATATTTAATATAAATAATAAACAAACTAAAAGCATATAATTGCCAATGTGTGAACAAAAATGTTGATTCAATCGAGTATTGGAAGCGAAAAGGTGAAACGAACCTTGCAGGTCAATGTCCTGAGCCTCGCACGCGATTCGTCCGCCACGACGAACGAGTCTCGAGCTCGAACTCGAACTCACCGATTGAAAAGAGCGAGTCGAAGAACTCAACTGGATCTTCAATCCTCTAAATTCTGGTAACATGACCGATTGACGGTTGCCGGAAAGTACAGAGACCGAGGAACACGAAATCGGAGCCAAAGTAGTCGCTGGAAAACCGGCATAGCGAGGGACGGTGAGAGTTTGAAGTACACCAGACATTGAAGAAAACAATGGAAGATAATATTACTGTAGATTAGGGAGATTGGATTTCCCACTGTGTGCTAGTGAGAGAGAAGAAATGGATGACGATGGACGAGGACCGTGAAATGGATGAGGGGAAATGGTTTGTGGAGCTCCACCCACGTGATTTCCACATGATAATGTATGATATTTTTGTACCACCAAAATATACATATATTTTTTTCTATCAGTCATCAATTTAGCTAAACAAAATATCACCCATCATCCATCATCCATCATCCATCATCCATGATTCATCGTTAATTAATTAGTATATATTAAAATCTCACTATTGTCACACTAAAATTATTACAAAGGTAGGATGACAATTTCCACTCACTAGTGGGTTTTGTCCCGTTCAGCCTCGCTCCTAAAAGGCAGCCCCAAATGAGTTGGACAAGTACGATAAAATAATTAAAAATTTAAAGTGGATTGGGGGAGGGGACAAAGTTAGTGATATACCTGTCCTGCCCCCCCCCCCCCCACCCCCACCCCAATTATATATGAATCTTTACCAATTATATATATATATATTTATATAATATATATTGAATATTTTTAAAACTTTGTTTTTTTGTTATAATATTTTGTTAATATATTAATATTCACCACTAAATAATTTAAACGTTGAAGTAGTTTATTTATCAGCCCAATTTCAACACATTGAACTATTTTTTTTTTTATACTAAATAATAAAAATGACATAACCTGTCTTGCCTCCACAATTAAACGGAGTGTCCGGAATCGAATCAGTACTTCATCTGTTGAAATAAGAGTGAATATGGTATACTAATCACAAATTCGTCCCGAAACAAAGGAAAAATTGATAGAATTTAACTAAACCCGCTCCAACCACTTGCCATTCAAAGGTAAAATCTATTTAAAAAGGTCAATCTCTTGATAAATGGAATATTCTGTTTCCTTTTTATCTGTTTAATATGAAATATGAAAATTATAAGGGGATAGGACGGAAGAGGTATTGGGGCTATCCTTGGATTGATTTCAACTCAGATCCGGTTCAGTATGAAGGTATCAATTTTCATAAACAACTTTAAAATTCAAACACACCATCAAAGACAATAAATAACTTTTCTGGTATGATTTGTTTTATTCCCTTGATTAAATAGGAAAATAATAAGACAAAAAGTATATTACATGTTTTGACTTCTACATTAAATTAATAACACATAATCAAAAGAATAATTTTCTTATATATATATATATAGAGAGAGAGAGAGAGAGAGAGGAAAGTCCATTGCTCTTCCCTTCCACCAACACCATAGAGGAAGGAATTCGGTGGATCAAAAAGAAAGAAAGAAAAAGACTTCCCAATTCTCACACCCCTTCATTGTCCTTCCATTTTCTTCTCTACCAAAAACATTGGAAAGGGTTTTCATTCCTCTCCCTTGATTTTCTCCTCTTCATTCCATGATGAAAATCTTTCTAGTTTGTTATAATAATGACGAAAAAGAAAGGAAATACATGATATGCATATCAATTGCCATTTTTTTTTTTTTTTGTTTAATCATTTTGAAAAATTATGTAGCTTTTATGATCCATGGAAAGAAGAGTAGAGGGATAAATGACAGAACGAGTCATCCTTAAGAGATGAAACGTGTCACCTTTCATCATTTGGTCGAAAGGGGTGTCACCTTTCATCATTTGGTCGAAAGGGATGTAAGAATAGATTTTACATTTTCGTTATATAAACTAATAAAAATGATAACAGATGATTTTGTAAATAATTAAAGGTTAAAAATAGTATTACATGTTCTTGGGGCAGTTTTTCTCTCTCCCCTCTCCTCCCAATTTTGGAGGGATAAAAAACATGAGGCAGGGGGGTTGAAGTGATCCTCACTTCCTCCCTCTCTTCTCTTCCATCAAACTGAAGGATGGTTCCAACTTCCAACCAAACAAGGTATTAATCTAATTTAAGCATGAAAATAAATAAATATATATAATAAAATAAAAATAACCACCACCATGAAAACCATTTTTCAATTTTCCTCGACCCTTAATGCTTGATGGTTATAAAGGAGAATAACATTATAAACAACAACATTACAGAGAGTGATTCAAAAACTCGGAACTAAAATAAGCTTGAACTAACGTCATAGAACGCATACCAAATTCAGCATTTCGAAGATATCAACTCACAAATTCCTCTTATTTCTAATACAGTGAACTCCATTCTTCCTCAGTATCCATATTTATCTGTAAATTAGCTGTACATTTTGTCAGAAGAAAGGCCATTTGTTCAAACCATGGCAATATCCTCGTCGCCCGAACAGAAACAGCAAAGTGAAAGTTTCGCATTCTTTCTTGTATTTCATCATGCTGCCACCAAATGCAATTGCTTACAAGATTGTGAACCATTCAAACAAAATTCTGGGGACCCAACACGGACTTCCACATGCAGCGACAACTTCTGCTGCAACTTAAATCAGATGGAGATATTATAATCTGGAACGACGAATGCATTTCATAGGATTGAAAGCTGAATGCTTTCGCGTAGAAGCAAATTGTGGTCCATTCAAGGAGTGTGATGATCTTATATCCCACCCTTCAACATTCTTGGGAACACATACATCGAAAAGGATTTGGCCAAGAACACCATGAGCATTGATGCTTGGTGGGGTGGACAGATGAATAAAGCCTTCTTTACGTTCATCAGGCACAGACCCAACATCTCTACCCTCATGATACTCAACTGAACTGGGAACGAGGAAGCGGTCGTTCAGCTCGAGGGAAACTCTTTGAAAGCTCTGATTTGAGCTTGCTGCTACTTTCTTTAAGTGGCAAAATGGCACAGAGATCTCATGTTGTGTCCCCTCCAAGCCTATTTTCTCTCCTTCAAGTTGTCGAATTCTATGGGAATAAATTGTAGCAGCCTTTCCAAGTAGCTTGGTCACGGCAATCTTGTATTCAACTGGATAATGCCGATAATGACCTGACAGCATTGAAGCGCGTCAAGAGGATAAATATCACAATGATTTGTATAAAAAGAAAGAAAAAGAAAAGGAAAAGGAAAATCTAAAAAATGGGCTAACTCTGGTGCAAAGGAATATTAATCTTGCAAAGCCAACATTCCTTGTGGAGTTTCCATCATATAGAAAAAAGCAACTTCTTGCTAATACGGGAGATTAGGATGCATTTTTTCGCAGGCAGAATGGAAGTACATTTTACACACCATTTCTTTTTTCTTTTTCTTTATAAAAGAAAAAAAAAAGTTTCTTTATATACCTCCTCTCAACATATAATATATTCTACAAAAATTCTTTATATAATGTGTCAAATAGTGCAATGCAGAAGGCAAGCAAATTGGACACAAACATTTTCAAAGTTCTCAAACTCAACTCAATAAAGCCTTGTCACATCTATTAGAAAATTGACAATGAATCATGTTTTGTCATTTTCTTTCTTTACTATTTCAAAGCATATTATTTTTTAATATTCCCAGTCCCCTGATATTACTGTGTAGATCGCGTCACTCTTCCTCTTTAGAATAGTTACTAGTGCTTGCTGCATATGGTCAAACTATTACAAAAATGCAATCGTGCTTCTATTTCAAACCCAGCCCATTTTAAAACACATTGTTTCTTAACCGCCAAACAATACGTACCATAAAGCACAATCAGCCTAATAATTGTTTTAGAGTATTTACCCTTTAATTTTAAAGGTATACAAACAAATATGCTAGAAGCACTCTAGCATTTAACTCCACTAACGAATTATGCAAGTAACATCATCTCTTATCTCTCTCTCTCTCTCTAACTATCTAGTATGGGAAACAAAACTACTCACTTTTTTATATCTATTGACCCCAATTTTCTTTATATCCCCACATGTATTCCTAATTTTTCTTTTTTTGGAAATAATATTCTATATTTTTCTGAAGTTAAATTCCATATAATTAGTTTTAATCATGCTTATCACTTCTTAAGTTTCACCAATCAAAACAAATCATTAGCAAATAGTATATACTGTGAATTTTCGTTTTGAATTTGTTTTGTCAATTCATCACTGGGTGAAAATGCAGACTTGTTGCCAATCCTTAATGTAAACCTACATAATTGATACTTTACAAGTTTCTCCTTAATTTTTCTTAGTATAGTCACAGATCCATCATATATATACTTTATCGTGCCAATAATTATAGCTATTATAGGTAATCTACAGATCTATAAGAACATTCATCTTTCGATTTGTCTACTTGTCAAGTAAATATCCACTGACATTCCCAATATAAATTCAACTTGATTCCCCAACACCATTGTCTTGTGTCTTAGTCCTTGTTCAACCATTCTCACCCCAAAGTTATAAAAATATTAATTTATTAATTTGATACTGCCATAATTTGTACAACTGTGAAAATCCCCCTTATTTATATATAGGTACTAAATTACTATCAGTAAAAATTATGCATAAATATTGACTACCACCAGTATCACAACTTTCAAACAAGATCCAATGCCGTCAACATATAATTATTTTTCTTTTCCAATTTCTTCTTATTTTTATTTTTCCTCCTTGTTTTTTATTCTGTCACCTTTTCAGCAAAATCAACATGATCTGGGGGGTAAGAATAGCAGAGGTAACTGTCATACTCTTTTCTTTTTCTTTCCTCTTTTTTTTTTTATTTTTTTTTATTTTTTATCTTGCAAGATCTTTTAGTACAACATCAAGACGTAAAATTATGTCTGGAATCAATCATAAAGTGTAATGAGGCAATGAATTCACAAAACAATTATCCAGGTTTAGGAGCTGACCTACGTGAGGAGAGCTATTCCATTTTACCAGTTTGACTTCACCCCCAAGGTTTTGTAGGCGTTCAGCAAAATTGCAGATAATTTGATAGGGAGCAAGATCATCATCTTCAGAGCACAAAATGAGATATGGAGCCCCCATGCTCTGTATAAGAATTTTGATGAATAGGCAGAGCAGCAAAGGAAATCAACAAATTTAAATGGTTGTGTATCTTAAAATACTTACTACAGAGGAATACAGAGTCTGCCAATACTCGGCACGCTGGGACTCAAATTTACTAAGGAAGAGGGCATCCAGACTGGAAGCAATGCCGTTTGCGATCCAGGAAGCTATTCTTGGAGGACGAGACATATTGAGAACAGTTGGGTGAAGAATGAATCGAGTACCCAAATCACTGGTAAAATCCACGGGACTTGAATCGTAAATGTGGCCAGAAACACAATCTCTAACCAGGCGGTACTCATCCTTCACAAGAAACAAACAATAAGATGAGCAGACCATGTAATGAAGTTATCTAAATATCTAAGTCATACACGAAGCAAACAACGGCTTAAATCTCATATGAAATGCAAAAACAAGAAATTTAACCTTGATGCAATAATAGAAGTAAACAAGCCATGGAATAGAGTAATAAAATCTGGAACATGAGGAAAAACAAAAAAACAAACAAACAAACCGAAAAAGGAAAAATCAAGAATACCAGATTGACTTGTGCTTCACACTTTCCATCAATTATCTGAAATAAATAGAGAAAAATTAAGTTATACCTCCATAGCTTATGCAATCATACAAACAATCAAGAACTGGAATGCTACAATCAATGCAGAGACAACCAAGACAAGAAGTAAACATACTTCATCATTTGTGTTATCGTTTAATCATCCGAGACTGAAATTTACCTGAAGAACCTTGTACATGCATGCTTTCGGACCACCAGAGAAAGATGCAAAGACAACAGGGCATGGCCTAATTTTTAGCTCCTTCATATACAAAATCAAAATGAAGCAATCATTAGTTAACTTTAAAGTGATATAACTTTCAACAAAACTAAGCTTGATGTCCCGAGTTTCAGCTGATCAAAAAGAAAAATAATAGTAAGTTAAAGCACAGAAGAAAAAAAATGCAAAGTGAGAGCCAGACGATATAGAAAGCAAGAATGCAAGCTTATACTAATTTTCAACTCTCAATTTTTGTTTGCCTTTTTCAAAGTCTCTCAATCAAGTCTCAAAGTGTTCAACACCAATCGGGCCTAGCTGAGATTGTAGCACTTATAGACTTTGATTCAGAATATCAATTGAGTGACAATATAAAAGAGCAATCCACTTGTAATTGGTGATCCTTCATAGAACTTAGTCCCACAAAACAATAATAACAACCAGACGATGTTATATGGCACTGACCTCGACGAGCTCGTTGAGAATTTCAAATGCCAATGATGTGGCCTGATCAGGGAAGAATCTGCAAAAAGTTAATGATTTCATGAAGTTCAAATTAAATTAAACAACACTTATCAAAAAAAATAAATAAATAAACAACATAAAATTTAATTTTAAAATGTAAACTGTTTTATTAATTCCACAGGCAGTAAGCAAAAATGTCAATAGATCTAGAAATCTTTTAACAATCTCTTAATCAAACAATCCTTTAATTGAACAAATATAAATTGCAGTACTTGTCTCGTTAATGTAGAAATACCATATGTGCAGTTGATAATTAAGCTTTAGAAATAATTCGAAGATTGGCTGATCCAGCAAGAAAAACTATTACCGATTTAACTATACCAGCCATAAACAAGTACCAGTTTTTTGGAATTTTCTTTTCAATTTGAATGATTTTGAAAAAAATTACTAGCCAGGTTCTCGTGTTTTTCTTCTTTCTTTATTATTATTACATCTTTTTAAGAAAGGAAATTTGTCAAACATTTCAATTTCATTTTGTAAAACATTTTCAATGCTAACTGTCTTCTATTGTTCCATAATTTATAAGAAGTTAAATCAACTACAAGCTACTAAAATGAATGACCTTGAATAGCACAAAGGTTAACTGATGAACTTTGCAATTTGCCAATCTAGTTTGGTGACATTGTATAGTAGTGGCATATTGTTAGCATGGTTTGAAGGCGCAGATGGTAACACAGTGTAACGTGCTCAGGACCGTATTGGGCATAAGGCGCATAAAGTAATGGAATTGGTTATAGCAGTCATGAAATTTGCTCGAACTTGCACATCATCAGATGTGCTGACTTGGTAGATTCACTACGACTCGGCTGAGTCTCCGATTCTCACCAATATTTTGGTTTGTATCAGACTCGGCCTTGGTTGAGTCTGTTGCGACTCAGCCGGTTCACAGAGACTTGGCCAACACAGAGAACTATGATTGCTAGATTAAATTCCATTCATATGCAATGTTGAAGCACTGGTGACAGTTGGTTTATACTCTTACAATATGCAAGTCTAAGCATGTCTCGCAAAAAACCACACTTGTGTATGGTTCCCAAATTTGTCTATGATGTGTTACAGAACCAATCAATATAATAAGCATGAGTCACTCAGCTAGTGATACAGCCAACATAAGACGATAAAATTTCATAAATACAAAAGCTGGCTTCCAAACATACTCCTACTTTGCTATCACATTTCATTTCCTTTGGGAACAAAAAATGACAATTAAAAAGAAATATAGAATAAACCTAACTACAATCCGAGCTAAAAGGTTCGCAAAACATCTAAAATATTGGGCAGATTAAAACTTCAGAAAACTATGTAAATCCACTAAAGCATTGATTTCAACCCGTGTTCTTTTTGAAGTTACTTAATATTGAATATTCGTCGGTAAGGACAATCTTCTTCTTCCTTCTTCTTCCTTCTTCTTTTATTTATTTATTTATTTATTTTTTATCTAATATCTCTGAGTGTGGCAAAGCCCAACTTCAATTTATCAAAATCTAAAGCTCAATCCAGAGTTCCTCAGAAGGACAAGTTCAATTCACTAACTTCAAAGCAGATGATCTCACACAGCTGTTGCTCCCTTTGGGCCACACACTAAACTGCTAAAGTAAAACGTAGCACAAAAAACCATGAACTTATGACACCCCACCAGCACACCATCACAGATTTTCTGATCTCACACAACTTAAACTTAAATTCTGTTTCATCTGCAAAATTAGACATATGTTTTATAACTGTACAACACCCTCATCAGCATATCAATTGCATCTATTAGCATGTCACAGCTCTTCCATTTTACCATGCAATAAGTTACATATATACAATACATATATACAGCATCCTCATCGGCATTTTTTTTTTTGCAGCTAATTTAGACATAAAACTTCATGATTACATTGTACTAAACTTCTATGGGAAGATCTCAGAGTTATACAATACATCAGTTATGGTTTCTACACACCTGGCATCAAAATTGGTGGATTCTCATGGCGTATATGAGTATATTAGAACACTCTTCATTGGAGATACACCTATCTTTATATCAAAAGAACACCTGACACAACACTCTACATACCTGATATCACATATTTGAATTAGGTGCATCAGTTATGCTTTCTACATAATTGGTGGATTCTCATGGCGTATATGAGAACATTAGAACACTCTTCTTTGGAGATAAACGCTCAACTATCTTAATATCAAATGAACACCTGACACAACAGATAAACAGAGATAACTGTACAACTTTCACTGTTATAATTTACTTGAGAGTACCTGTTCTTTTAAGATTAAATACTACAATATAGCAAGACTTATCAAAAAAAAAAATACTACAATATAGCAAGAAACACATCTGTCTAAGATATTTGCTTCTCTTGAACATCTTCCCAACCTTTTGAACCTACATTGGAGGATTCAAGCTCACTTCAGACACTGGCACCTGTGTCAATGATTTTAGCAAGTCCATAAAGAAAGACATGCATAATTGCATTTATCCAAAAAAAGATATCTTTTTTTTCAACAAGGAATTCCCAGGAACAAGATATTATTTCAATGGTAACCCTCGTCAACTCCATTTCATAAGCTATACAACCCAACTACTAAATACAGATTAAGGTTTCTCAGTGTCATCTAATTTACTACAAGGTATTAAACTAGGCAATCCACCTTTAGGCTTTAACAAAGTCAATTCATATTCCTCCTTTGTAATCTCCATCAAGAAATTTTATGAATCTCCACCACCCCTGCTCACCCAATTTGTGGACTGAGATTCAAAGATACCAAGGCATCCAATAGACCCACTATAAACCTTTATACTTACAAGTTATATAGTAACTACATACAAGGTAGCACAGATTCCACAGACCAACAATTGACCCCTTAATCCTCAAGAAAATTCCATCCAAATTCATATTCTACGGTACACAAGCACAAAGACATATCCAAAAATATATAAAAACTCAAAAACCCACAAAATAAAGAAGCCAATTTTTTGCTCATTCAGTCAAAATCAATCAAACCCATAAACAAGAACAACAGATTACTGGTCAAAACAATACACGAAGGAAGGAATCGGAATCTAGAAGTACCGAATTGAGTGAAATTGAACTTACTGATTGAGAAATTGGGAATGACAGACGAGAGAATTCCAACCGAGAGAGGAGTAGAGCTCAACGTAGTTCTTCAAGTGCCTCTCCTGGCTCGACATCCACGCGAACACCACCACAATCCCTTCGACTTTCCCGCCTTCTTTTCTTCCCCAGTAGTACCTTCCCCCAAATCCCCACATCTTCACCCTTCACTTCTATATTTTCCCAGAAAATAAAAAACCAACTTTCCAGGAAAAAATTTCACCGATTTTCCAAATCCAAGCTCGGAGACTACCACCCTTTTCACCAAACTTTCTCTAGTTTTCAGAAATTGAAAGGGATTGTATAATTTGTATGCAAATGAAGGTATGATGATGATCTTTGAATTTTTCTTTGTTGTCCCAATTGTCTTACAATTATTTGCAGCTTTTTATATGATGATGATCAATTGGACAATGGGTTGGGTCTGTATCTGCTCCATACCCGTTGGGACCTTTTTTGCTTTTGTGCAATCATTGAACCTCCGGTCCCAATCGAACCAAGAAATGCGTGCCACATCATGTATGGGGCGATAGGTGGATTTTTATGTTTTCGATTGAATTACCAATAATACCCCCATATTTTATATTTGAGGTCCATTGGGTGACGTGGCATATTTGGATTTGACATGGTAGTAGTTGAAGATCTACATTGTTTCGCAGAGAAGCTAAACTGCAAAAAGAAGCAAGTGGTAAGGTGACGATGATGATAAGACAAGGGTTAGGATCATCCTAATTTTTTACTTGAGGATATTGGCAATTCTCACATGTTTTGGTAGGGTCACTATTTTGCGGAAAAATAAATAAATAAATAATGGTAGGTGAAAGTAATAGAAAAAATGAAATAATTTTTACTAAATGTATTTGATTATAATGAAAATATTATTATTTAACTAAATTGTTCTTATTTATTTCAAATGAACTATCGAGACTATATAGAATTGTAACCGACTAATTTTTTTTTTTTAATAGAGGCAATGCGAAAATTTTAATTAAATAATTTTTTTGAAATTTAAAGAGATTCTTTTAGCTTTTGTTTATTAAAAATAAAGGTAATGGAAATCTAATTAAATAAATTTAAAAAATTATGCATAAAAATATTTTATATTAAATAGATATTAAAAATGAGAGGGTTATAAGATCAATTGTAACGTGTATTTAAATTACTTTTATAATAATAATCATGTAATAATTATGCTAGGTGAATGAATCACACATTAATGTTATACAATATTATTATTAGTGTATGTCTAATATAGTAAATTAATAATAAAAAATATTTTAAACAATATTATTACCAAATAAATTTAAACCACGCAAATATAAAAAGTATTTCATAAAATATATTATCAAATATATAAATATTTTTTATTAACAATAATTTTATGTGAGCTCTATTATAAAATTTTATTGTCGGATTGACTTTCTTATTGTCGCATCACATTCCCTTATATGGGAAGGTGCATCAAATGTCGTGTCTATTATTACACTGGCATAAATAAAACCTTATCGTTATTGGCTTTCATGTCTATCCTTTACATCGTATAAAATGCGTAACGCAACTAATCGAAACCGCCTATTTGAGTTTTTTTGTTCAACGTCTGGAATTGGTAAACAAAATTTACTAGGATATATATATATATTTCGTTTTCTTGTTGATTTTATATAGATAAAAATAATAATAATAAAAAATAAAAATAAAAAATAAAGTGGCGAAACCATTGAAAGTGAAAATTTCAACCTCACGAGGTCTGCCGTCTGACCTATAGACGAGAATCGCAGCAAGTTGTTGATAGTAATAATTTTATAATATTAATAATGATAATAATAATTTTATAATATTTATGATTTTTATTAAATAATAATAACACTTGTATCTCTATTACACAATATCATTTACTCTAACCATTTGCAAATCTTCATCTGCTCCTGCAACCATTCTTTGATTTATGTAATCAGGGGCAGAGTCAGAAATAAAAATTTTGGGGCCAAATTATTAAACATTTTTTTAATAGCACATTTAGAAATGATATAAATAAAGTACTAATAAATTTTGGCAATGGTTACCATAATAATTTTTCTTGCAAACTAAATATGTAAACATAAATAAGATTTTTTTTTAAAATCCCATATTTGAGTATCAAAGAAGTAACATTGTGTAAAATGATACCAATAGTTAGGTCTAACTTTAATCCCCTCCAAGCATTCTTGTAAAAATGACTGAATACGGATAATCATGCTTGTTTAATTACAAGCACGTATTTATAGTGGATTAAGTGGGGGTATCTGACTGAAATTTTTTATTTTTGCATTTTACATCTCTAAATTTATACTTTTTTGTATTTATAAATTTTGAAATTACCCCCCGAATTAAAAATAAATAAATTAAAATTAAAATTAAAAAAAAAAAAAAAAAAACTCTACAAGATCCTAACATTGATCCCAAAAACTTTCAAAGCTTGAAAATTGTAGAGTCAATAAAATCTGAAATTAAAATAAAAATTTTACACTCTTTGTGCTTATATTTTTCAAAACGTGCTATACATCTGGGAGACATCCCAACCCTGTTGACCACTTTTCCGACAGACGATATGTGACGTGGCATATGAACCATTGCTTGGATAAACTCACTTGCCAAAGCAACACTTTCTTTTAAAATTTTCTTTCCCCACTTTGTACTGTGTTAAATTTACATTTTATTACCCACTGCATATTAGAGCATCATCATGTGATCAATGAAACTTTGAAATTTGAAAACATAACCCATCCGAGTTAAACTATTAGCATATGGTTTGGTTTCGTGTGGTTAGGAAAATTGCTAGCAAATCAAGATAGGGATACACACAATTCGATTCAGTACGGTTTCAAACTAAATTGAAACTGAACCGATTCAAACAGTTCTTACAAAATTAGAACCAGAACCGGAATTGTTGATGTTAGGAATCAAACTAAACCGAATCATGAATCGAATTGAAAAGACCGGTTCGGTTCAATTCCAAACCATATTTTTTTTTATAATTTATTTATTACATTTCAAAAAAAAAAAAAAAAAAAAAACTCAATAACTTACAACCAATCACGTGAATTTGGCTTATCAAAGTAAACACAAATTTATACAACAAATTAATGGATAAATAATAAAACTCTCAACCAAAAAAATAAAATATATTTGTAATTTAAAAGCAACTAAACTATTATCCTGTTTTTGTAAAACAAATATGAAATTTAGAAGTATGAGCTTATTAGTACTTATTTGAGATTAAATTGTATTTAATCGAGTTGGAAATAGATAATAATAGTAATATTTTATGTGTGTCAAGTTTACTAATAGCAGCCAATTGGAAATAATAATAATATTATTATTATTGGTACAGCACAGTACGTGGGTGTTAGTGTGTGTGATACTCTGAAGTGTTGGGTTTGGTAAGTTTAAATTGAAGTGGGTGCATGTGGTAATTGAATGTATATAATGACTAATGCATAAAGAAGTCTCATATCTATATTATATGTCACGTATTAAAGCTTTCCTGGAAGTTTTTACCTACTGCCTTAGTGTCACTATAACAGTTATACTTTTCACCAACACTTAAAAACGTCAATGAGAGTCTAAAAAAACATTGATAGACCGCTGGTAATTTTAGCGTCAATAGATCTTTACCAGCGCTTTTTAAAAAGCGCTCCTTAAAAAAATCTATTAAAGGCCCTTTACCAATGCTCCTTAAGAAGTGCTGGTAAAGGCCTTTTACCAGAAGCAGAAGCACTGGCATGAAGTCAATACCAGCGCTCACTAAGAAGCGTTAGTATTAAGTCATTACCGGCACTCGTTAAAGAACGCTGGTGTACCCAGTTTTAGTTTTTATTTTTATTTTTATTTTTTATTTTATTTCCCCTTTATTGATGTTTTGTAAAAGTAGATTTGTTTACATAACACAAGTTAAAGCTGCTAAATGTCATTCAATATAACACAAGTTGCCAATATAAAAATACCATCCAAATTGTTTACATAATACAACCACAAGTTGCTGCCAATATGAAAAATACCATCCAAAATTGTTTACTAATAGATAAGTAAATGTCAACCAAAAGATGTCAACCAAAAAGCCAAAATGTCTACTAATACAACCACAAGTTAACGTGCTAATATGAAAATACCATCCAAATTGTCTAGATAAAGCTACTAAATTTCGCACAAAAAGAATTAATAATTTTTGACAAATATAGTAGAAGTTTTTCAAAAAGAACCCATCCAAGGCGAAGGAAATTCAGAAAGCACAACCATGACCCCATCTTCAGCTTCAACTTCAACTTCAACTTCAACTTCAACTTCAACAACTCCTCTTGTTCATTTGATTTGAATTACCCTACATTTTTTATAAATTCATTTAGCGCACATTATAATAAATGGAAATTTAACATATAAGAGAAATTAAAGTTCATAACCTGAACTGAATTGGCATGACTAGAAAATGAATTTGGGGATACTCTAGGAGCATTTAAAGAATCAGAACCCTTCAAAATAACAAAACAAATACTTGAAATCTTAGCATAAGTAAACGTACATTCAGTAAAGAGTAAAACTAATAATAAATATACCTGTCCACTATAATTTTTTTGTTGCGTCTGCATTAGCATAACCATCTGTTTTTGTAAATTTTCCAATTTGTCGTCATAGTTAGCTTGCCATTTTGAAATGGTATCCTGCAACTCTACACGTACAGCACGTGCCTCCTCATCAAATTTTTTGGCAGTATTAATCAGTTCAGCTTTACTAGGAGAGGCCTCCAAACATCGCTTGGTGTAGGCCCCAAGCCAAGCATCCGCACACGACTAGTTCTCTCTTGTCCCCTCACAACAGAGTACAAATCATCGGAACTGCCAATAGGCGAGTCAGAGTAACTTTTTTAAAGATTTTTTATGCTTTCTTGCAAAAAATAATAATAATAATAATGAATGTATAGAAAATAAATTAAATAGAATGCTTCATGTCCAACATTTCTAATTGTAAAATAAATTAACTATATCAGCTAGAAAATACAAACTGAACTTTTGAAATAGGTTAGAATCTTAACATGAGATAGTTTTTGGTGGATGGAAATAGATGAGACAAGAGTAACAATAGTAGTTATAGGCTTACAGCCAAGATATAAATGCATGCGGTCAATGCTATGTACCAAACCGATCCAATATAATTAAAGACCTTGGTCTAGCAAGTCTGAGAACTAGAAGATCCACATATATAAACTATATACTATACAGATTGTGTGTGTGAAAGAGAGAGAGTCTTCAGCGAATATAATTTCTTTTGTATGGTTAGTTGGCTTTGGTGTGTTTTTTAATTTCAAATAGAATTAAAGACACAACGTGATGAGAATGAGCTGCGACGACGCTTGCTCCTACACCTGCTTCTCTCATTCTCTCTCATCAAAGTCATGTGTGTTTG